TATTTATGAAGTAGGGTGTTAGAAATGATTATTTTCCTATCTAGGCAGCTGCTGGGAGTGCCAAACTTTGCCTTGTACTGACAATACTGTTGCCTAGTTAATCATGGGAGCCAGGGATGGGCTTTCTGTGCTGATCATCACACGCCAGCAGAAGAGATAATGAGCTGCTGAAAAGGATGCATCTGGAATCTGGCCGAGCATTGCATTGCGTGAGATACTGTGTGCTGCCTCTTCCTTCCCAAACCAGGACAATGGATTCCTGTTCCTTAGCATAGTGTCACCTTGCTCTCTGTAGCTCACTTTATATTTCCTTTGTACAGTTTGAATGGTTTAAGAATGACAAGTTTACACAAAGGGAAGAAAGCACATCTTGGGGAATTCAAATCCTTTGTAAACTAACCTGGTTTTGTATGCTTGCTCTTAGTGATCTTGAATGGACAGTATATTTGAGAAATCAGCTTTAAAGAGTAATTTCTTTTGTGGGGAAAGTGAACCTTGGCAGCGTGAAAATCAGATATTCACCACCTAGCTGCATGGTGTCGCTTTGCAGCTAGTCTTCTCCATGTTGGGCTTGCCACAATCTTCATTCTAGTAATGGGGTTGTGCTGATATTTTTAGAAGGGATTGCAGGCAGCAGTATCTTAATCAAAATTTAATTCAGTGCTGTAGCAGATAAGTGTGCTACTGTTGGGCCTTTCCATGTGGCAGGATTTGAAGGAGAGCAGTGCATTTGCCCATTGCTGCTGCTGCCTTCTTCAGTATTGGGCGTGGTTTAAGTGAAAAGACAGTGCTATTTATGCCTTCCTGGACATGCATACTCTACTAGAAAATCATAGTTTTTTGTCTTGCCATCTTGCTTCCGAGCTGTTTTGTTGTGGTAGAGTTGGGGAACTTTTGTCTTACTCCCTCCTTCTCTTCATCTCCCAATTCTGGATATGCCAGGTGTGGGTGGTTACTCAGATGTCTGTCGGTTTATGCTGACCTGTGCTTTGTTGATGTACTTTCCAAATACTGGTTAAGCCAATGCAGTAAACTGTATTTCAGCTTTCTTGTCACGTATGAATAATTTTGTCATTAATTCTTAGAGCTTGGTGCTAGTTTCTTCAGGGGGCCATACCTGAGCTGTGTAGGTAATACCTCCGTGCAGACGGAGAGGCGGTGCTGTTTAAGTTGCTGTTAAGGTACTTAACAGGCTCCACTCTGAATCCGTATTTGACTTTCAGCAAAGCATGCAAGTCTGTGCCCTTCATCCTCTTCAAGCTCGTTAATAATGTGAGCTGGACACAGGCGTGAAGGAAAAGTCCATCTCAGAACAGGTCCCTGCTGGGAAAGCCAGGCTGTGAGCAGCTCTGCATTTAACAAAGCTAATGGAAATTTCCAGGGAGGGCTTAGAGAGCTTAGTGACAGCCATAAAAAGAAAGAAAATAAGAACTTGACTAAGTGGGCTTCACTGTCCATGACTGACGCAGTGTGGAGAATTGCAATTTTTCACCCTGAAGCCCGGGGCAACAAATGTCCTCCTTACTGCATCCACATCCAAGTGGCAACACGCTCCATGCTACACAGAGCTTCCACCTTATGCCTTGGAAAATGTAAAGTGCTTCCAGCATTTCCATGTCTAGAGTTTGATGGAGCAAAAGTTAAATGCTTACGTTACCTGAAAAATATTCATTTCTCCAGTGTAAGCTCTGCTTCTGTGAAATGAATAGTCAGGCCTTGATTTGCAAATCTCCTGGGAAACGTACTGTGAAAGGCTTGCTAATTTACAAAATTCAAGCAATGTTTTGCAATGGGAGTTAAAAAACCTTTAGGCTTTCTGAAGAGGGAGATTGCACTGTTTTAAATAGGTGTGGTTAAACCAGTGCAAATCTTGAAGCTTAATTGAAAATCTGATTTAAACAAAGGTAATTGCAGTTGTCACACACATCTTGTTGTGTACTTAAGTTGGTTTAAGGTGCGATGATGTGATCAGGTTTCTAATGCAGGCATGGTCTGGCACTTAACCCATACAATAGCACCATTTCTTTGATGAAATCTTTGCTTATTAAGAAGGGAAGTGATGATCTTCGTATAAAAGATAGTGCCCAACCAGTTCCCTCTGTTAAGTTCAGATATTTGCTTTCCTCACTGTTCCTTGATGCAGTCTGAAACATCACTTCCGTAGCCTCAGTCATCCAAAGGCTGGAAGACCTAACGGGGAGCAAGCTGGATATTGGTCTTAGGGCTGTGGAGAGGCAGAGTTCCAGGTCAGAGAGATGCAGATGCATGCATGCTCTCTCCCCCTCTACTCCGCTCTTGTGAGACCCCGCCTGGAGTACTGTGTTCAGCCCTGGGGTCCCCAACATAAGAAGGATGTGGACCTGTTGGGAGTGAGTCCAGAGGAGGGCCACAAAGATGATCAGGGGGCTGGAGCGCCTCTCCTGTGAAGACAGGCTGAGAGAGTTGGCGTTGTTCAGCCTGGAGAAGAGAAGGCTCCGGGGACACGTTATAGCAGCCTTCCAGTACCTGAATGGGGCCTACAAGAAAGCTGGAGAGGGACTTTTTACAAGGGCATGTAGTGATAGGACAAGGGGTGGTAATGGCTTTAAACTGAAAGAGGGTAGATTTAGACTAGGTATAAGGAAGAAATTCTTACTATGAGGGTGGTGAGGCACTGGAACAGGTTGCCCAGAGAAGTTGTGGATGCCTCATCCTTGGAAGTGTTTAAGGCCAGGTTGGATGGGGAGCAACCAGGTCTGGTGGAAGGTGTCCCATGGTGGGTGGGTTGGAACTAGATGATCTGTAAAGTCCCTTCCAACCCAAACAATTCTATGGTTCTATGAAAAGAGAACAAAGATTGTGGTGAGGGCTTTATCGCTTGAAATCTTTTGCAAGAGGTGGAGTTGGGAGAGGGTAAGTTGGTTAGCTGGTCAAAGGAAGAGTCTGCTGAAAGGTAGCAGTGAGGATGCTCACTGCTGTAGTAGCAGTGTTTATTCTGAGCCACTTTTTTGGCCCTGCACAGAGACCGGAATACCAGTCATGTAGGTGGCTGCGGGGACCATGCCTGTACTTTGGAAAGCATGAAGAAGTGTGGAAGGAGAGGGAGAAGAGCATGGGTCAGTTTAGTTCTGTTGTGTAATAGCTGCAGATACCAAGCAAACTAGACTTATGGAAATTTTGACTACCAGGTTAGAAAATCTCACTTGCCTAGGGACTGTGCTACTTTGCAGACAGCAAAGTGTGACAGCTAAGTCTCAGTATATTAGGCAGGGGATGGAGCAGCCAGAGGGACTGGCATGGTTTTAGTGCCAAAAAAAAACCAACCCCAAACTTTTTTTTTAATCTGTCTATAAACTCTGAAGCCTTTGTAAATCAGCATCTCCCCAGCAGCTGCTTTCATGGAGTATAATGCAGTGCAGGGCTAGCTCAGCAGAAAAAAAAAAAAAAAAAAAGGGGTGACTGATTACTTCCTGTAGACTCCATGCGTGGTTTTGTTGACCTAATTTTCTTCAGCTTTTGCCCTTGGTCCCAACCTGGGGTGCTGTCACCCCAGCAGCCTGGCCCCAGGCCTCCAGCACGCACAGCTCTCCTATTGCAGCATATCTGACCTGCAGCATCCTCTAAGCTGGGGTTCTTGCCAGTTCTGCTGAGGCATCTCATTACAGGGACAACAGCTTTTATATGTACGTAAAACACCATGTTTGTGCCTGAGCCATAACCAGCTACCAACTACTTGCCCTGAATCCTTCCTTCAGATTATGGGACTACCCTTAGTTCATGCTCTGAGACTGTCTGCAGTGTGATGCAAGTCCAGCTCTTCAGATGCAATTCCCTTCTGTCTAGAAGGGACTTTTTTTTTTTTAAAGTTGCCTTGTGTTGACCACTGCACAGCGCTGTTAACTCTCCACCTAGCACCATCAGGTGTCTGCAGTCCAGGAGCCATGTGGTGGTACACAGCACCATTTTGAAACCCACAGGCCAGCTCACAGGGAGCTGGTGTGTCAGCACGGCGTGGCAAAACACTGTACAGAAAGTCTCTTCCATGGTAACGCAGCCCAGAGTGCTTCTGGAGGGTGGAACACAGCAGTAGGTGGAAGATCTCCATACTGCCTTGGACTGCACAGTGTGTGCCTGTCCTCTGACATTTCTGTATGGCACAGAGTAAGATGGATTCACTCTTATCCTCTTCCAGTCTAAGAGCTGTTGGGCCTTAGAAATAGTGGGAGATGCACTTACAGTGTTAGTGATTGCCCATAGTCTTCAGCAATGATGTGATGATTTTCTGTACATTGCTAACCTTGCCTATTCCTGTGAAGTGGTTAGCTAGCTCTGGCTTCACATATCTTTTTGGGAAATGCACTGTGAAAGGTTGCCAGAGTATTGGCTTCTGTTAAACTTAGTAGCGTTAGCTGTAAAATTCAAGTTTTGGACTTTCTGGACACACACATAGTTGATCCAGTACAAACTCTCTTGTGGAAACTTATTAAAATATCCTCTACATCTGCCCTTGCTCCACAGTGACTGTCAGTGAGAGGGCTGTATAGAGATTTATTTATAGGTAGAATGAGAACCGTTTGCAAAGAAACTAAATGTCGAATAAGAGCAGTGTTTTACTTAGCATTACCGAGTGCAGGAAATGCTGGCAGGCACCACAAAGAGAATTGGCCTTCCCATTCCAATTCTTTGTTTAGTCACTTGGAGTTAGGGTAACCTGATTTTATACACACAGTTGTATGTCTTCATTTCCTGAAAATCTCTCTGTTCCTGTTGCTGTGCCTCAGTGCTTATATTGAATTGAAATGAATGGAATATTCCAGAGCAATCTGGGTAATGCAGCGCTCCATGTTTGTAAGGCTGTTCATGGTGATGCGCCCTTTTAACGAAAATGTGAATTGAGCTAGATCTGCAGTTTCTGTAGGGCAGGAATCAATACTGTCCTTCATGTTGTGGGGACGTAATGTGTGCTGGCTGGAATAGTGTCCTGTCATGCTAATATTTTCTTCCTTCTTTGGTGTTTCAAGGGCCTTAAACTCTGGAGTTGAGTACCACTGGGACCAGCTGAATGAGAACGTCTTCGCTGTGCATTCCAGCAGCAGGAACACTGAGCGGCCTGGGTGAGTCTCCTGGGTGTGGGCTAGAGAGACCTGACCCTTTCTGCTGCTTTTGTTACATCTGACAGCACCACTTCTTTGTTCCCTTAGCACTGGCAGCTTTAAATATCCAATTTTTCCCCCCTTCGACACTGCCTAGTTGGGTCACCTGGCCTGCTTCCAGCAAGTGACATTCAGTGCCCAAAGTGCTGCCAGTGATTGTGAAGTACATGTGTCATCCACGGCCTCAGTAACATCCATGAGCAAGCCATGGGAGGAACATGTGGGGCTTGATGCCTCAAAAACACCATGCAAAGTAAATGGCCTTTGGAGGATAACTGAAAAACAGGGGGTTTCACAGAGATGAATGCAAATCCATTGGGTGGTCCTGGTGACTGATTTTCATCCCTTTAGTTTCTGGTCATGGGACAGTTGTTTCTCAGCAATAAACTCTAAAAATAAACCGAAATCCCTTGAGAGCCCTATTGGCTGCTTCATTCAGTCTGTCCAGTGATGCACACATTGGTTACTCTAAGCACGAGGGTGATGCTGCAGTCCCTTGCTTCTTGCCCCCATGACAAGTACTTCTCTGTATGCCAGCTGTTCTCAGCAAGAGGGTGACAGTCTTGTTTCTGAATTGTGAGCTCCAGGATCCCAAGGAAGTTATGAGCTGGTGTACAGGGCAATGTCTGTGCTCTCCTACAGCCTTGGTCTGATTGAAGGTGAAAAATAAGCAGTAGAGATTCTTTACTCTGCCATGTGAGTGGATATTGCCACTACTCACATTTTTTGACAGCACATATCAGTCTTGCATGATGGGCTTAGGAGCAGCTTGAAGGCAGAAATATTGCTCAAGAACGAACTAACTCAAAGAGAGAGCAAGAAAAGTGTGGCAGGTTTCAAAACCTTATGAAAAAATGTTGTGAATGAGACAATCTTTCCTAGAATCTCTTTAACATTCCCAGCACTTAACAGCCAGAGGTCAATTTTGGAAAGAGCATCCAAGCATTGTCAAGATTCAGCTCTTGCAGTGTCGTACACTTCAACTGTTCGATTCTGAGAAGCTAATGAGCCTTGAGGTGGTTTCTGTTGTTTGCTTTTGAGAACAGAGAATTTCTCTTGTCCAACTGGAATGGGCAGAAATGCCTGCTGGAGTGCATTCATGGGTGATGCTGACAAACTAGGAGCTCCAGAGGAGGGAAGGGATACAGGCTGTGTCCTTGGGAGTTAAAACCACTCTGCCGACATGCAGAGGGAGGTTGTGTGCCTGTTTATGGTCCTGCGCTGCATGTTGTGTTGCCTACTCAACTCAGTGACCGCGAGACAGAGTTGTTCTGGAGGCTTAGTGATGCTGCAGGGATATCTATCCATGCCTGTCAGACATGCTGCTTCTGTGGAAGGGTGAGTGGACTATAAGACTCTGTTGGCTTAAAACTCAAGAGACCAGCCAGCTGAGGCTGGAGAGGGGTGTTTGTGTGTGTGTGTAAATAAGTGTAGGTCACAATTCCCTCCAGCCCCATCTGCATAGTGGCTAGCAGGTGCGTGGTTGGAGTGGAAGCAAGAAGAGGCTCAGGTGGAAGCTTCAATCTTGCTGGGGCATGTTGCCTCCAATGCTCCTGGTCTTATTTGTTTTTCTCTCTTTTCAGAACCAGCAGAGCCACATGGAGGACAGACAGGGACATGGGCCTGATGAATGCCATAGGCCTGCAACCCCGAAACCCCCCCACCTCTGTGACTTCGCAGGGTACCCAGACCTTGGCGCCTCAGCTGAAAAAAGACTCAGACAGAGAGGGAGGTACAGGAGCAGGAATCCGCCTCTGCAGGGACTGGGGAAGGTAGGAGCTCAAGCAATTATTTGTCTGACAGAGCTTACCTGGTGAATGAGGAGTTTCCACATAGGTTCCGCATCCTATCGATGCATTTCGACACTCCTGTTATCCCTTCAGCAAAGATTTCTCCAGCCTAATTTGCCTGTAGCCAGGCCAAGATGATCAGGAGAGTGAATCTCTGTCCATATGAATAGACAAGTTGCCTTTTTCACATGCTTTTAGAGGGCAAAATGAACTCTTCTCCAGATCATTGTCTTTGTAGAATCAGCTGTACTGGCATCACTCCTCCAAATCTCCTGAACTCTAACCATCAGTAAGGCTGCAGACTGTTAAGAATTATCCTTTCTGGCTCTGCATTAAGAGTTTAGCTTGGTCCTTCAACCTCTGCATCTAAAACCTGTGCAGGCTTCACAAGCTCAGCATCTGGATACAAAATACTGTAAATAATTTCTCACAAAGCAGGTATGAGTATTCTGTTTAGTCTGATTGATGAAGGCTGTGATGAGTGTCCAGCTCAGCTATTCAAAAATGTCTCTAGTGTTTTCCAGTCCAGGAAAACTTACCAGCATGTAAAGAGCTGGAAGCAGCTGATGTGCAATTCCTATATGATGATAAAGTCACTGATCTTTTGAAAGCATGATGATTTTGTCCAGGCTTCTTGTCTCTGTACTGTAGCATTGTGCTTGAATCCAACTCTGAAGGCTTGGCTAGGAAGGAGTTGGGCAGTATATACATACGAAAGACAGAGAAGAGAAAATCAAGGAGACAGTTTTGAAGTTGTTGGTTCATGATGAACCCACTTGGCTTTGGGAAGCAGCCCATGGCATGCCTGTTTGTGCCTGTATGCTTGCTTGTGCTGTGTCACTCTGAAAGATGCTTTTTGGCATGTGACTCTTCCACAGTTTCTGCTGTGCAGCATCCAGCATGTGTGATAAGGCTTTGTGTTTCTCTGATCTCAGCTTTTCTGTTCAAAGTTAAGTGGCAAATTCCTGACCTGTGGAGTTTCCCATCTGCTTATCTCAGCAGAGCTGAGATTAACCTCTCTGGAAGGTTAGTACAGTTGAGGGCGTGTGAATAAGGCTGGAACGTAGGACGTGTGGGCAAATGCTGAACTTGTGGGAACTGGTTCTTCCACTGAATGTGGTATGCAGACTGAGAACAGGGTACAGTGTGGGACCTTCTTGCATCAAGGCCATGGTGGCTGATGTTGCAGGCTTGGGGGTCTTTCTCTGCACTGTTAAACCAGTGGAGTTCTCCAGTTCTTCTCTATGTTGCTGTTCTGCAATCGTCTGAAGGTTTCATTATCTCATTCTTTCTAATTAACCTTTCAATTTTCAGATCTAGATCGTGTTTTTTAACTAGACCATTAATGAGATGGGGAAGGGTTGTCCTTTAGCAGTGCCTTGGGCAGGGTATCTCTACAAAGAAGCAAAACATGTAGCATTTGGAAGAACAGGAGTGTAAATAACAAGCCTAGGACAGAGACCTTTGTCTCCCTTTCTTGCTTGGAAGATTGGCAGGTTCCACATCTGGTGTGATTTCTGGCTCAGATGCTGACTTAACACGTGTCCCCTTGCAAGTGGCCTCGCCTGCAAAATGAGCTGTCATACTCCTGTCTCCTCTATAAGGATCTTTAGAACAAAGGAGTTACTCCAGTACGGATGCATGCACTGGAGACAGCCAAGTGGTCTTACCCTGTAGTTGATCAGTTCTTACGCCAGTTGCATCCTCAGTGGAAATTCCAGTGCAAAGAATCAAGAGCAGCTCAAAACAGGGAGCTGTTAAGACATTAACTATCAGGAGCATGTATGATCTAAAAACCAACTGTAATCCATGACAGAGGAATAGTACAAGGACCTATCATGAAGCAGAAAGACAAGTTTTCAGCTGCTATTACTAACACCTCAGCCAGTTAGCCAGGGACTTGTAGCATCAGTGGTCTGGTTCATCCAAGAGTCTTTGTGCTTCACATTACACTTGAGTCCTATTGCGCTGCTTGTGACGTTAAGGTTACTGTTTTTCCAGCATCATAAACTCTTGTGATGCTCATCCAGTGTGTTCAGGCAGGCTAGATTAAATGCTGTGCTGCTTTTCTGATGGTTAATTTGTCCACTATCTACCATAACTCTTTGCCTGTTGTTGAAAGGGAAACAGTGTTTCCTAATAGCAGGATATAGATGTCAGGGATACAAAGGGAAAAAACAGAGGAAAAAATGTCCTACCACTAGCCTGGTGCGTGACCTAGGGCAAATTATTAATCATCTACCAAATGGGAATAAATCTTCCCATAGTACAGTACACCAGGGGCTGTGAAGATTAATTAGTGTTTTGTATGGGGCTTTGAAGATGTAAATCACTATGTAAAGGCTTAGCAGTATTATCAGCAGCAGAATGGATAAATCAGATGTGATTCTGAGTAATGTAAAGGAAAGTGTTTTAGTTATCACCTCATTATGAGGGGAAAAAAAATCAAAACAAAACAAACCCCTTGAATGTTTAAAAAAAAAAAAAAAGAAAGAAAAAGAAAGGCTACTGCTACCCCCAGGAGTGGGTTTCTGTCCTGTGTCCTGTCAGCCTCGCTGCTGTGGGGAATTCTGGCTCAGGGCATTTCTTGCAGATATGTGCTTACTGTACAAAAAAAAAGTATGCAGAATTGCATCAGAAATCTAATTAAGCTCTGTGCGGGTATAAATAGTTTCCTTTTCTCATGCAAAGCTCTGCAGGGACTTTGCTATTCTGATTATCTTTCTACCTCCTTTGGAGGAATGAGTATATGATGACTTTATTAGAAGTGAATCCCTTTAATGTCTGTATCTTTTTGTTTTGCAGCAGTTGATAGCTGCCTTGTGAACTCTGCTCCCAAGCCACACATAAACTAAAGGAAGTTAGAGTTGAGAGAAAACTGGGAGAGGTACCAAGAAACGCCTAGAACAGTGTTTCAGCTGTCTCCTACTTTCTTTTAAGCTGACAGACATAGTGGAAATAGTGATGGAATTGTAACTTTGAGGCACTCTTAATTAGAAACAATCTGTTGGGAGTTATACTATGCTTTCCCTTGCAAATGGACAGGCATGATAGGGGAGGGATCTGTATTCAACCGGCAAATTAAATCTCACTTAAAAACCAACAAAAATTCCTAATGAGATTTAATGGCCCAAAGCTTTACCTTTAGAAATTGTAATTCCCGGTCCAGACTGGGTCAGGCTGTGGCTGCCACTTGTTCAGGCTGCTGGATCTGTGGAGTGGGGTGCAAGTGGCGGTAACTGTCAGGGACTGCAGCTGTGCAAAAGGTGTTACAGGCTGAGGGAAAGGGACCTTTGGAGAGCTGCAGGACACTTGTTTCATTGTGCACCCATGCTGTCCCCTGGCTATTGACAGTATATCAATACATCTTTCAAAAAGAAATACATTTTTCAAAAAGAAAAAAATAACCCACAGTCAAAAAAAACTTTATGGAAATAACTGAAAGGCAATTGTCATCTCAATTCTTATCATCTGCATTGTCTTCGGGGCTTAAAATTCAGATAGCTAACTCAATGCTCATTGTGCAAGTAGCACGTGTTATGAACTACTGAAATTGTAGCCATCGGAAGTCTTGCTGTCAGTGGATTGCTACTTTGCCTGTCTGTGGGGGAGCAATATATTGGCTACTGTCATGCCGTATACAGTTTTTAGCCGATTTGGTTGAAGTGTTTCTCACCAGCCAGTACAAATTTCCATCACGTCCAACTGCTTTCAGAGGTTGCAGCAGATACTTTTGAGAGTGAAGAGAGTTGTAAAATAAAGGCCTGGGTTTGTGGGTTCAGTCTGTTCAAACTGTTAGTAGTGAAAAGATAGCACATGCAAGTGAAACTTCCCTGATATAAGCAAAGCATCCTGAGGATGCCTAAGGAGCACTTATAAGCAGAGTCAGAGTGCCTGCATGTGATATAACTTACTTAATCTGAGACATTAGGAACGTGTGTCAGGGGGCTGCATGGGTAGGAGTACCCTGTCCCCAGCCGAGCCTCATGAATGCTAAAAAGAAACATGTTGTTTTACATTAGCTGAACAAGTTCTTGCAATGCTGTTGTCAGATGTGATGTGACTTTTGTGCGATTAGTGTGGAAATGGGAACCAGGACACCAGGGATCAGCTTCCAGATCTGCCTCTCATTCTCCAAGTAGAAACGTGGGTAGATCCCTTAGCCTTTCATCTGCCCATCCATCTGTAAAATGTGCGTCATATGTCCTACAGAACTGCAAATTTCGGTTTTTCTTTAAAGCCATCTGAAAAGCACTACCTAAAAATTAGAATCAGGTTCTAGAAACATGTACTATGCAAGCCTTTACAGTGTGAGCTACTCCAAGTACTCTCTTGGGATTAAATTATGGGGGCTACTTTTAAACTCTCATTACAAAAATAAGTTTCACTCATACAAATCACCAAGGTGAGATATCGCTAAGAAATTTGTTACAAGTCAAAGCAGTTGTGTCTTTTCTGAGTTCTGTGGAGTTGTTTGGATTAGCTACCTCAGAAGGGAAGTGTGAACATGCTTCTGAGCTTGGCTGGGGAGAAAAGTAACTGATAGTATTTCTTCTGGCACTAAGGGAGATGTGATTATTCATAGCTGGTTATGCTGTGCTTTGAGCCTCCCTTTCCTATTCTTATGCAAGGAGTGAATTCATTTAAAAATGCTGATATTTTTATCTTTGGGCATCTGAATTAGTGGGTCAGTTCACACCTCAGAGCTATTATTCCATGTTCTCTGAAGACTTAGATATCTCTGCAGTGCTTACTCTCAGTTCTAATTTTGAAGCTTTGCAAGCATGGCTACTAACTACTGCTGGTTTTAGAAAGAGGAAAGCTGAAAATAGGAAAAAATTCGAGAGCAATGTCAGTATATCGCACAGCCACAGAGGAGCCTGATCTCATCCTTGCTTCTGTGGGCTTTGCTCTTTATCAGGTGTGTGCTGTCCATGCCCAGAGATAAACAAGTTGTACTCCCCATAAGTACTTCAGAGACCACTTCATTTAAGAGTGGAAATGCTCTGGCCTTATGTCCAGCTCCATTGAAAGTTTGCCAGATATTTCACCTTTGTAGTCTTCTGTGTCAAACTCTTGTCTTGCTGGAGTAGCGTGGCAGAGGACTTCTAAAGACAGGTGCATTAGCTAGGGAGTATTTTGTTAAACGTTGGAGCCAGTAAGCTAGATTGACAGAAATCCCCTGGTCTTCAGGATAATTACTCTCAAGAGTAATGCTTTATGTCTGTGTTTGGAATAGATGGGGTTTTGGACCTCTGGAAAGGTCACTTCAGTTAGAGTAGAAGAGGTTTGTAGGAACACAGCACTGTGGACACAACACTAATACTTACTTGTATTGCAGAAGGGAACCATGGGTGATGCTTTTCTGTCCTGTCAGGCACAGTACCTGTGTCCCTGTCCAGAAAAAGATGGAGACTGTCTCTCAAGATTGCTTCCTGCTCTGTGATGGATTCTGATACAGGGACAGCCTAGGTGGAGAGCGAATTGGCAGGTGTTACGCTTACACTGGTACTTCACACACTGTAGCTGAAGCTGGTTAGCTCAGTTTTCTAGATTTTGTCTGTAGTGCTCTGTGAGGTTTTTCTATTTTTCTGACCCTAGAAGGTAGGCTTAGAAGAACGAGAGCTTAAGATAAGGGATTTTACAGAGCCTGGGAGATCAGAATGTAATTTTGAGCATAAAATGAGAGAAGAGGAATTGCCTTCTCTGTATGAAGAAATAGATGTGCTATCACTTGGCCTACACCTGCACAAGCTCTGGATATGCCTAAACCCTTTGGAGTCTGAAAAAAGTGTCACGAGTATGGGGTTTCTCTCTGTCCTGGTTTTGTTCAGCTGGTGGTGCAGGGAATAGGGTTTGGCCACTGCGGCAAGTTGAAACTTCTAGCAATCTGAGGTGTGGGGTTTACGGCATTGCTGTTGTTTTGGGTAAGTGCCTGTGTTGCACACTGAACCTCCACCAAATGGAGTGCTTATTTCACTTGCACTGAGTACTAATGTAGTCTGCATTGGCAGCCTGGTGAAAGAACGTGTGTGGGAGTCACCAGGCAGTAGAAATGGGCTGTATGTGAATCTGTGCGTAGCTCAGCTCAAGGGAAATTGCGCAGGAAGCTTTGCTCAGAACCAGTCAGCCAAAGTCATTGTCGAAACCTGAGGGGGGGAAAGGGGAGGACAACCCCTGAAGCAGAGGTGCTTGTTGGCTGCTTGAAGGGTGAGGCTCGCTTCTGGCCCTTGATGGGCTGTCTTTCTGGAATTTCCAACACTGCTGTATCTCTGTGCTTGTAATCTGAAGGCTCACGACTTGCTGATTTCTGCTGTGGCATCAGCCCTTGCCTGTCTTCTGAGCAAGCAGCTGCCTCAACTGGAAATTCAGCCATGGCACATGGTAATTAAGGAGCAGGGGGTGCTGTGGTGTGTGCTGCCTGCATGGACTCCTCTGGTGAAGCACATGTTTGTAATGCTAAGGAGTATTGGCTGGAGATCCTTGCTGATTTGCTGTTCCAATGCTCCTGTATTGGGCTAGTTTATAGTAAGTGATCTGTCAAGAGCACAGTACCGGCTGTTTCAGGCCTTGTGTAGGTAGGGCTGACTGGCATGTCTCTAAGCCAGGTTGCACATCTTGGCTTTCTCAAGCTTCCTCTCTGGCCTGGCCAGACGGTTGGTAACAAAGCGCTTACGACTATGCCCTCAGAAGGAAGCGATGACTGAATCCAAAACCATGCTTCTCGTTAAACCTTTCACTTACTTCTGCTCGTGATTAATGCTTCAATATCCCCTGACATGCATGTTTTTCACACTGAATTTTCAAGTCTAATAGCTGCCTCTGTCTGTGCTCAGTCTTAGTGCTGGTCAGCCAGGTTCCTAGTTCATGCATCAGCCACATCTTAGTTCATGAATCAGCTGCATCCTGAACAGGATTTCTCTGTTAGAGTTGTGGGTCAGGCTCTGCCCAAGGGGTATTCTTGCTCACTCTAGGCTCTGCTCCAGGTTCTCATGTGGTTACTGGTGTCTCTGTGGTCTCACTGACGCTCTAACCAAGGAGCTATGTAATTGCTGTATATATAAGTGGATATAGCAGGCCTACTACATTCCTAGCAGAAAGAGACTTATTCTACTTGTGGGTATTAAATTTGCCCTTAATGTCCATAGTATTTCTACAGCAGGGCAGTATGTCAGCAGACTTGCTTGAAGATGAAATTAGCCGTACCCTGTGGTGGAGGAAACTGGTGGTGTTTGATGCAAGTACCACTGAGCCCATGAGGAAAGGGAATAAGCTGTCACTGACTGACTGCACAACATGTTATCAGTTTTAACTATCTTGCTTTTTAAAAAAATAACCTCTACAGTGGCATGGTGTAGACTGTGCTGAATACCCCAGCTCTCATGTTAGATACATGATCTCCACCCCACAGCCCCAAGCGGCTTTGTCTTCCTAGTCAGTGTGGCAGTGGTTTTTATTGTGTTTTAACTCCTGCCTACACCTAGCCTTGTTTGTGTTCATTTCCTTGGTGCCAGGAGAGCTCATGGCTTTCTCCTCTCCTCCAGTCAGCACTCCGATGGCTTCATGGAGCTGGGAGTTAGATTTATCTCTTTAATAAGAATCATCAGGATCCCACTGTGGAATGATTCTAGCAGTTTATGATTACAGATTGTTTTCCCCAAACAGTCTGGGTAGGGTTTTGTAGCAAAAGGAGGATTCTGGGAAACAGAACTGGGCTGGACTTCCCTGCCATGGGGATTTAATCTTCTACGTGGACTATTTTTCTGTGAGATTTTGTTCTTCAAAAGTAATCTTCAGCAACCAAGGCATCTGACAATGGTTCCCTCAGAGCTCAGTACAGCCTGACTATGAAGGGAGGGACTATCGGAGATAGACAAAGACTTAAGAGATGGTTTTTGCGTTCCTCAAAAGATACCAGTCAAGCGGAGCAGGAGCCTACACACTTGATCTTTCCTTGATCATAGGTGATGTGGAAGCACAGACCGTGTTCTGTAGCTGCTGTCTGCTCTTGGCCAGCTGCTTGTGTCCTCCCTGATACTGGGGAGATTGCCATCATGTCATCTGCCTGGGGTGCTCTCAAACAGGTGAAGTAGGAAGGGCCACAGGACTCTTAAACACCATGGTGAAATGTTTGGTTTATTGCAGCGCAAACTGAGGTTTTTCTTCCTGCCCCTGTGGGACTGGCTGGACTGTCTCTGCAGCTGTGAGAAAACACGCTGCCTCTTTGACTCCTCTTTTTTCCACACCTGTATGGCTAGATAAGAGCTGCTTCTCCAAGGCTTGGACGTGCAAGTCTGTGAGGGATACCTGTGGGAGTGGCCAGGATTTTCTTGACAGAGTTCAGTGCCTCTGTTTGGCACTTCACCAAAAGTTACAGAAATAAAATGTTGGGCTCCCTCTGGACAAAAGCCATTTTCCATCCCAGCACATGCGCACTGCGTGATGCAGCTACCCAGCATGCTTTCTCTTTGTGTTGTAGTTTGCCTTGTGCACCAAAGTTGCTTCTGCTTTCTCTTGCAGGTGAAGGTCCAGAATATGGGGCCAGTGGGGAGGATGCCCTGAGTAGGATCCAAAGGCTGATGGCAGAAGGTGGCATGACCGCTGTGGTCCAGCGGGAGCAGAGCACCACCATGGCATCTATGGGCGGCTTTGGCAACAACATCATTGTGAGCCACCGGATCCACCGCAGCTCTCAGACTGGTGCAGAGTCCACTGGAGTTGAGGGCACATCAGCACAGCAGTCCACCTCACAGCAGCTGGCAGCTGAGTTGGAGGGACGGATCCTTTCAGAGTCTATGCAGCTGTCAGAGCATGGCCTGAGCCCGCGGACAGCCCCTGGCGGGAGTGAAGGACAAAGCGCTGGTGATCTGGACCTGCCAGAGCAGGCCCAGTCCTCCATGGACACTGAGGGACCAATTGAATACAGTGACCTAACTAATAATAACCATCTTCCTGACAGTACCAACTTCTATAGTGATGACAGCACCAGTGGGGAGTCGCGGAACAGGTAGAGATTGAGTTGTGTGTTGGTACTACCCTTGTACTGCTCAGCAGAGACCTGTACCTCACAGCTGGCCAGGAGCTGGAAGAGTAGCGACATGTGGCTCTGACAGGATGCTGGTGGTTCAGAGGGCTTCTCTATCCTGGGTGAGTGGGAGGGGATAAGGACTGCAAGGGAAGCCATGGGGAAGAAAGCATACTTAACTTCCAACATTCCCACTGCTGAAGAGTTAACAGGAATATGAACCATACTGGCTGCACATCATGCAGATTTTGAAGCCCCATGGGATCCCCTGAGCTCGGCCCTAACCCTGCAATTCGGTCAGTGTCATCCTTTGTAAAGCTTCTTTCCTTTCCTCTTTCCTGCCCTTTTATGCTCAGGGGCTGATCAGTAGAGTGAAGAAAGGGAAGAGGGCCTGCAGCATCCTTCTGGAGACAGGCAGTCCTACTGGGCAAACCTGGGCGTGATGCTCCAGCTCCATTGCTGGAGTGGAGGAGTCTTCCAGGCCACAGTCCTGCTCTGTGGCACAGCACTGCTCCCCCCTCAGAGTGTGGTGTTCTGAGACCCGTCTCTGCCTGTGCTGTGGTCTTTTCTGGGAAGAACTGGGCTTTGCCAAAACCTGCATGGCTCAGGAGCTGCTCACTGGTGGGGATCTTCCCTTTTTAGAGAGTTAGTTTAGCACTTGGCAGGAACCTAAGCAGAGCTGCTGTATGGGAAGAGGGACAGGGGCTACTGCTCTCTAGTCAGGATGCAGTTCATGCGAGGATGTTCTAAGCTGTGCCAATATTAACAGGAATGAACTATCCCAGTGGTTTCATGGTGCCATGAGCTGCACCTCCTTGGCAGGGGGCAGGAAATGTCTTTCAGCTCTAGGCCAGGATGTGAGGTATGGGTCTGTGATGTAAGGTGTTGCATGTGAAATCTTGACCTTGTACATGTAGTTTCTAGTGGAGAAATCAAGGCTCTGATATTTTGTTTTTAGTCTCAAATGTGATTTTCCTTTTCGTTTGTAACTCTCCATCCCTAGCAGGCTTGTGGAGGAAGGACGGGGAGAGCGTGAGTGCTAACGAGGGAAACACCAAAGATCAATGTCATTAAAATATGACAAACCCTTGCTTGACCTACTGTCTTCATTTGTGTGATGGTTGTCTCTGTGTTCAGCCTTGGCATAGGTACATGCAGCTCAGAAGCTCAGGGTAGCTTACAAATGTCAGATGATGACCACCCCCTTCCCAGGAGGAAAGCAGGCTCAGCCTTTGAGTTGGAAGCCCAAAACTGGGAAACAGGGAGGAGCATTTGGGAGTCTTAATTGCAAATTGCCTTTTAACCAGTCTGGAGATGAGCAGGCACTTCTGTGTTTCCCATCATTCAAGTAATGGGATGAAAGAGGAGCGTTACTCCTATCCCGCTTAAAAAGGTATGTAGAGATGCAGCACTGTCTATCTTAGGCAAGCAGAGAGTGGTCTGTCTTGCTGACCTCTCAAAGCAGAAAAGGGGTGCAGTATAGGGCTGTTCTGGATAAAGGAACGCATGCCACAGTGTTGCACTCTGCGGTGAGGGATGCTTCCCCTGCTGTCTGAGCACTTGCCAGCAGCTGCTGCGCTCCTGCCTGGCTCCTCTAGACTCTGCGCTGCAAAGACATTACAATAAATAAGGCTGTTATTAGGCAGCACTCAAGCTCCCAGTCAGAAGAGTCTGTTAGAGAACATTAAGCAAATCTTCTCTTAAATCACAGCCTGGAAATGAACCTTAAATCAAATCAGCTGCTGCCAGGCCTCATTGTGGAGTGTTAATGAGGCTCTAAAACCTGTCCTGAGCCAGCTACATCCCTGATATGACAGGAGAGTAGCCTGAAAAATGGGATTCCCTTGTGTGGTGAGGAAGGTTTCATGCATCCCTGTATTGCCTTAGTGTGGGGTGGCCTGAGGATGTGTTGGCACTTGGGAGCCAGAGGAGCTATGTCTCAGCTGAAGACTTGGGCAGACAGGGCGGTGCAGGTCTAGGCAGAGCTGTTTACTGCTTTGCTTGAAAACAAAGAAAAACAGAGCCTGGAAAAAAACTGCTTCAGCTCAGCCTGGCATCTCCTCTTACCTCTCCCTGCACGATTCCTGGAAGAGTCTTGAGGCCCGTTCCTGGTAGATGTGTTGCAGAGCATTTACAGATGTCCATTTCCATAGCCAGAGCCAAACTACCTACAGAAAAATTTCCATCACGGTTGGAGAATGGTCTTCTGGGATGTCTCACTCTAGTGTTGGCAGATTCTCAAAGACCTGGAATGTACCATTGCTGGGCGCTCAGGCCCGGCTGCTGTGTAGAGGCCTGAAGCCTGCTCTGCTGACTTCCCCTTAGTCCAGACATGCCCCCGTTGGAGACGATGGTGGAGCGGGCAGTGAGCTCCAGTGAGAGCAGGAGCAAACCACAGCTGCTGTCTTTGACATTGACTCGGGACATCTCTGAAGCTCCGAAGCAGTTTTCATTCGAGGCTTGTAGGGGAAACTCTTCCAGATGAGGTAAGGATGGAGGCCTGATCAGAGAAGGCAGCTTTGATGTTTCTCCTAACCCACTTTGTAGCTCTGGGCCAAAGGCCTACTCCTGTGTTCATACAGGCTTTAAGCAGGAACAGTGGGCAGGGTGGGTGTGGGTGGGCTTAATCTTCAGATGCTGCCTTGGCCATGCTTTGTAGATGACCTGCTGTGGCCACACAACTAAGCTCTCAGTGGTGGTGGGCTTATATGTAGAGAGCACAATGCTTTTTTTTTTTTTTTTTTTTGGTTTCAGACCTGGAATCTACCAAGCTCAGTTTCTGTCCCAGCCTGAGACCTGAAAAGAGGAGGTGGGTGGTTGGGAAGAAGGGGGGACAGGAGGGAAAATTAAGCGCACTTATGCCATGGGCTCACTTCCCCCCCACCTCAATGCAATTTTCTTATGCCTTCCATGCTTCTTGTGAAACAAAACTCACTCTCTGCCTTGGACTACCCTGTTCTGGCCCAGCAGTCTTCCTTGGCGGGTTTGGGCAGGGCTGAGCTGACCTGTACCCTCGAGCAACACCCCTGAATCTGCACAATGACCTGAGGCATGGAGCCCTGCGCAGAACAGGAGGTGGTGGGATTGACTGCATCCAGGACAAGCGCAGCAGCAGCATGGGGCTCCCTCCCCGAACCTCGCAGCTTACCTGCTCACTGCAGTATGATAATGCAGTGCTGAGGCAAACGCCCTGCCAGGAGCAACGTGGAAATTCAACAAGAGCTGCCTGAGGAAACCAAAACAGAGCTGTGCGTGCTTGCTGGCCCGATTTAGGAGGCAAAATGAGAGCCTTGCTGCTTAGGAGCAGGAAATAATCTTAAAAACCAAAAGCTTTTCTCAGCCTTAGCCTATCAGGAGCCTTTAAATGCGCTAACAAAATCCTGGGGAAAGGAGAAGTATAGTGCAGAGAATTTTATTTAGCTTTCAAAAGGCTTTTGATGAAGTCCCTCACAAGAGGCTATTAAAGAAACTTAGTCACCTCAAGGTTGAGGGGTAGAGTCCTCCTGGAGATGGAATCTGCTTGAGGCAGGAATTGGGGTCAAAACTAACAGCCAGTTCTTGGTGTGGAAAGAGGTTAGTGGTGGGTTGGTTGGGTTTGGTAGGAGCCAGTGTTCTCTAAAAGCCCTAATGAGCTGGAAGAGGAGGGGAACAACTGAAGATACAAGATTATTTAGGTTAGCTAGGGAGAGAGAAGGTGCCAGAAGCCTGGGGCAGCGGGAGGAGGTAATGGTTGGAGCTGCTATGCTGGAAGGGGGCTTTTGTATGAATCCACAGAGCTAACCTGCACGGGCACTGCTGCAGCTGGTGAATGCTCTGGCACCCCTGGGCTTGGGACCAAACCAGCTGGTGAGCACTGGAGGGGAGACCTGGGATCCCACAGGGATCCACTGAAGCCCTGGCAGGTGGTACAGCAAAGTGGTGAGACCCACTTGTCCCTGAGTCCTGTGTTTTCTGCCCTTTCTCCTCTGCTGGCCTGTTGCTCCATCTCCAGCACCTCCATTTGACTCCCCCTGGAAGTCCCACACCATACCCACATGTGGCTGGTTTGGGGTGTCTGTGGGGTGACCCTATAGCTGGGTGGTGCTGGGACCCCAGCTCTACCTGATGGCCAGGAGCTGTGCCGGGCAGGAAGGAGAGGGCAGGAACCAGGTAACAGCTGGGTACACAGGGACTCTCTCTCCCCCAGTGTTACTAGTGCCAAAGCCAAGCCCCATAGCCGGCCCCTCTGCCTGCTGCTCGGGCTGCTGGCCAGGGAGCAGCTGTCTTCTCTGCTTGGTCCCAATCTGTCAGAGAAGCTGTTCTCCAACAGGAAAAGTCAATTAATTAAAGCATGCAGCATGTGAGCCATCCACCTCTAATTGGGATTTCAGTGTGCAGGACATAAATGTCATGCCATTGTTGCCTCTGCGTGGAGGGGGCCCTTGGCACATGAGGGAACCGGGGGGGGGGACAGCAGCCTTTCACTTCCAGCTGCCACCCTCTGCCAGCCAATTAATGTCGGCGTCCCTTTCTCCTTGCCCCCAGGAGCAGAGGCCTCTCTCCTCCCTGCCCTGCTGCTGCTGCATGTCTCCTGCCGTGGTAATAGGCGGGAGGCTTGTTACAGCCCGCTCGGTGCACTCTGGCAAGCACACGGATTTGTTTCCCCACAGCGTCTCAAACAGAAGTGCTTCTCATCTGTTCTTGGTTAGCTCCCTCGGCTCCTGTTTGTTTTGCCTTTCAAGCAGTTGTTGCTGGCGCGCAGCACTGGTAGGAGCTGATGGGATCAAGCTGTCCTCCCTGGGACACCAGCACCAGGCATCAGCTCCCTCCCAGCCAGGAGCCAGCGTCCCAGAGAGGGCACCATGAGGCTTCCCCTCCGCCTCCCATCCGAAAATCAACGTGCTGTTGCTCAGCCTCCAAGCATCCACCCTCCGTGCCAGGGTCTTGCCTGCCAATTCAGGCCAGGCTCCTCCAGCTCAGTGGTGCCACGTGGGAGGGACTGCAGGGCCCAAGCACTGCATGGGCAGGGCTCAAACGACTCAGTGGGACAGGCAAGGTGTGAGTGATGGGAGATGTGAGCCCAGCAGGGAGCAAATGCTACTGCTGGAAGAGGCAGCCAGACACTGAGGTCTCCAGGAGGACCTGTTGGTGAAACTGGACCAACACGTATGTGGAGAGCTGCAGCTGGGCTCTACTGCCCTACTGAGCCTTCAGCTGTGGCTGACAGGACAGTGAGCTCTGGGCTGGCACGTGGTTTCTGGCAGCCTCTGAGGTTTCTCTTTCTGTCCTTGCATCCAGCCCTGTTCCAGTTTGACTGGTGGAGTTGGACTCTGGAGTCCCTGCTCTTTCCAAGCTCAGGAAACACCCAAGGCTCCCTGGCCCTCCACCTTTACCCTCTGAGCTCCTAACTCCAGCTTTACAGAGGCTGGGATAAATAGCAGACACTGTGCAAGCTGTGCAGAAACATGAGATGTCATGGTAATTTGGGCTTGGTTCTTTCTATTTCTTAGGCTCAGCTGCATGTCCAGGCCGATATTCCCACCCATGTGGGTGCTATGGGTACACCGCTGCTACGGCTTTTCCCAAACCCTTTCTCTGTGCCATGCGAATGGCAGACCAGCAGAGCTCCAGGTTAGGTGTCTGTCACTTTGAGCATTGCTTGACACACACAGCAAATGCTGTCCTCCTGTCTACACTGCTCTTTGCAGCTGCTGGGGAGAGGGAAGCCTTGAACACCTGGGAGAAAACAGGAGACCAGGATGGGTTATGGGGGACTCTGTAGCTGCTCTGTTGTGCGTAAATCAGGGGAAGGGAGAAGAGAAAGGGAACAATAGGGGTTCAGCTGACAGTTCCTAATGTGCAATGGGCCCAGCACAAGCGTGGCTGTGGGGCTTGTGCTCTCCAGTGCTCACTGCTGTGTGTTAAATGAGCTCCGGCATCCCTTACCAACGCACATGAAGCATCTGTACCGAGGTCTTACCTTTTATTGGTGCGTTCTCCCTTTTCTTTGAGGCCAGATCAGGTTGCACGGCGTCGGAGACGTGCTGCAAGATAGTGTGCTGCTGTCCTGCCTCTGCCCTGCCAGAAATGCCCCTGCCTGGAGC